GGTTGAGGATTTCCTGGCTGAAATTTGAGAAGTATCTTCTTTATCAACAGTTTCACAAATTCATTTTTGCATGTTTGATCAATCGTCAGGCCCGACAATAGATACCTGCGGTTCGGGAGTAACACTTCCGATCTCCACATAACCAAACCCAAGGTCAAATAAACTATCTATAGCTTCACCATTCTTATCAAAGCCTGCTGCCAAACCAACAGGATTTGTAATTTTTTTCCTAAACACCTAATAAAATTTAAGTTAGTTGTTAACTCAACAAAATATGCACTAGAGAAATGTCATCAAGTGACATACTATATTACCTACCTTCACGGATAATTTTTCATCGTCTGGAATTTTGTCTTTAGGTGTTAACCGCCATTTTGCCACCCACACAGCAAGATTATGGCTATGCTCAGGATCGACAACGGTTCTTAATATTGGCATAATAACATATTTATGAATCGACGCCCTTGAATCAAAATAGTATTCAAAGAGGAAAAGACCGGCGATGATTCCAAACGATCCTGAAATAAAATTTCGTAACTTGGTGGAAAACGGTGTCGTTTTTTCCGCGGGAACCTTCGAAGTAAGCGAAAGAAGCCTTGGAAGATCAATTTGAGGATGGATTTTGTTTATTATCAGAACATCTGGTAAAGCAGTTGACGTATTCGATAGGGCAAACGGAACTTTAGAGCGAGGGAATAATCTTGCGTAACGGGTAGTAACACGTACAGGTCGAAAGGAAAACATAAACGCGAAGATTTAAATTATTTTAAATTCGGACAATGATCAGATAAGATGCATCTGACAGAATTCAGGTTTTCACATTAAAAAGGAAGTTCGTGTTATGCATGTATGTGTGTACGTACGTCACATATTTAAGCTGTTTTTCGGTTTTCCATATTAGTTACATAAAGAAACATTTCTCAACACCCTTGACAGAACCAAATGAAACCGTAGGTTAGTATAAAAAGAAGTTACGCATGTATTTTAAGTTGTGTTTGAAGAGTTCATTAGTTTGAGCTTTAAACATGACGCGTGAGAAAATTGACAATTTCGCAATGCCTTCTCGACCCTTTAAATTCTTTTAAATGCTAATGGAAATTTTGTTTCCTTATAAAATCGTGGCATTTAGTTATAAATAGTTTTTGGACGAATAAATATTTGACATTCGTTTTCAAAACTGACCTATAAATTAAGGTTCCGATTTGTATGCGACTTACAATCTTCGCATGGTGTAAGAGCACTTTTATTCTCTTCAATGATATTCGTATCCGCTAAGTAATTCGTAACTAAAGATAATCAAAAACAAATTCATCATTCTTTTTTAAATGTTCTTACAATTTCGTATAGAAAAATGGTAGCGTCACGGCGAATGTTAGAACGCGTTTCTTTGGTTATCGGCGGCGCAGCCTTGGGTATCTTTTCTACTCTATATTATAGACAAACATCCTTACCTGTGCGGCTTCCAGAAAAGGGAATTTCACCATCAGAATCTACACCACCAGAATCTAAACCCCTTCCTTTCGATCCTCCTTTCAAACTTCCTGGTATGTCTTTTTTTTTTCTTCTATGAAAGCAAAATAAGCTATCTAACTCCTTTATATGCTAATTATTTTTATACCGCCGAATTTATAGAACCAATTGATCAACAATTTTCAAGAAAAGCCTACATTGTGTCTTATGATCGGCGACTGCGTCATCCGAATTTGGCGTTAGAACATATAACCAAAGAGTCTCTCAAACGCAGTGAAGGTGTAGATCGAAGTAAATCCTATTTTCGTGAAGATTTAGACATAAAACCCGAAATATTCCGCGCAAATTTGAAGGATTATTTTAAATCCGGCTATGATAGAGGTCATATGGTACCAGCGGCCGACATTAAAACTTCTCAGGAAGCGTTGGACCAAACTTTTTTATTGACAAACATTGCCCCCCAAACCGGAACCGGCTTCAATAGAGACTGTATGCACGGCTTAACGTTCTACTATATTAAATTTTATGCTTTTGTGCTAAATACTCACTAGGCATCAATGAAAATAAATTTTATAGATTGGTCTTTCTTTGAAGAATTTTGTAGAAGACTCGTTACTAAAGAAAATTTCTCAGGCGTCTACGTGTTCACTGGACCGGCTTATCTACCACGAGAAATAAAAAAAAATGAAACAGAAAAAGAAGAAAAAGAAGGAAAAGAAGGAAAACTTTTTGTGACGTATGAAGTCATCGGTAATCACGTTGCCGTTCCCACGCACTTTTATAAAATAATCTTGGCGACTAAAGATGATGAAAATAGTCCAGACGGGAAGCTTCATGCATTGGGTTCTTTCCTATTACCTAATGAATATATATCAAGCGACCAACCGCTAGATAAGTATTTTGTTCTTCTGGAAAATATCGAGAAAGTCACGGGTCTGGAATTTTTTAGGGGATTGGACAAGAACTCAACCATTGATCTTTGTAAAGTTGTAAAGTGTCAGCAGCTTGTAGCTAATCCTAAATATGTTAAAGAGGAGTTGAGAAACTTGCAAATAGAGCAAAAAGCATGATTCTTTATTGACTCCGAACAAATCTGACGAATGTGTAAATAAAAAATAAAACATTCAATAAGTCATATGTTACATAACTGTGAATTACAATTTTATCCTTTTCAAATTTTTTTTTTCTTTTGAATCTTAAAAATAGAAAAAAATGGTAACAAAAAAAAAAAAAAATGAGAAAAAAAAAAGAAAAAAGAAGGTATCAAAAACACCTTTCAAACCTTTAAAGTTGTTTTAATACTTCCTCAAAAAAAAAAAAGTACAGCCATTCCCTCATCTGTTTCAATTCTATACATCATATTTACTACAAATGATATGTTATCTGTTAAATATATATATACATCAACGTTCCTAGTAGTTGCAAACTACTAATCTGTCATGTGACAATATTATTGTGTGTAACATCATTCAATACATCATATGACAGACGTGACCGTTCTTGAATTTTCCAGAGGGAATAATCAGCATATTTTACAATGAAATCAACTTGTCTATAATACAAGAAAATGAATATATTATGAGCACGTGTTTTGTCGATAAATCAAGAAAGGATGAAACACATACTGCATTGTTTCAATTGCTTTGGGGCTTCGCCTCATTCTCACCAACCGAATTGCACGATCAGCGTCATGACAGAGACGTGTTCTAAGCAGCCAACAGCACGCTACCAACCCAGCACGTCCAACACCTAATTAAAAAATTGTTAATTAAATATCTAAGAAACCTTTTCGGAATTAAAACCTACTAACCGCCACGACAATGAGCCAAAACCTTTTGACCTTGCTGTATATGATGTTCCATTTGTATTACAACCTGGTCCTTCGATCATTGGTATCCTGAAATGCAATACGTGAGTACTCGGATTAGTTACAAACCGTGTAATTGCTGAAAAATAGTTTACCTGATTATTTGCAAATTGTATCTCTGTGCCAATTCACAGTATCGTGGCCACGGTGCTCCTAGGAACGCCAATTCTTCATCAATAAGACAGCTGAAAAAGAAGTAAATGTTCATAATTATATGAGGGAAACTGTTGTAAACTAGATTTGTCTGTTA